TCGGGGTCACCTCCGCCGGCCGGCCACCTCCCCACCGCCTCTGCCACCCGCCCCGGAGCAGCGTCTCCTCCCGGTCCCCAGATGTGTTCAGCGTCACCTCCCTGTTTCCAGATGTGCCCCTTGTACTGGCTCAGCATCACCTCCCTGTCCCCAGATGTGTCCCCTGCACTGGCACATCACCTCCCTGTCTCCAGATGTGCCCCCTGCACCAGCTCAGCATCACTTTCCCGCTCCCAGATGTGTCCCTTGCCCCGGCACAGCATCACCTTCTTGTTCCCAGATGTGCCCCCCGACTGGCTCAGTGTCACCTCCCTGTCCCCAGCTCTGCCACCTGCCCCTGCTGCCATGCACCACCTCTCTGACCCCCCAGTGCCACTTTGTGCCCACGCAAGGTCACCTCCCCACCACGGGCTGAGCCACGTGCCCCCTGCACCAGCTCCACATCACCCCGACCAACATCAGCTGTGCCATCTGTCCCTGCCACCCTGCACCAGCTTGGAGTCACATTCACCTGTCACCCCACACCCAGCACCAGGGCTCGGTGCCACTGCCACCCCTTGCACCTTGTACCACCTCCTCCTGCCACCCTGCACCACCTGTGTCTCCTCCCGTGCTCCTGCTCTATGCCACTTGCTCCCATCCCTAAGCCCCTGCTCTGTGTCACCCTGTGTCCCCCTGCCATGTCCCTGGCACACCTTTGTGCCCTGCTGAGCGCACCCCTCCGTTTGAAAAGAGAGAATTGGGGTCCACTCCAATGAAAATAGGTAGAAAATGTGAAGTCCCCTGTGTTCTCCCATCCCAGCCCACCTCTTCTCCCTGCAAAGACCTCTGGTGATGCCAGGTGGGCAAACAGCCAGGCTTGCTCCCCGAGGAGCGTGCCAGCAAGAGAAATGGGCCACTGAACTCCCCCTGAGATGACAGGCAGCCTGGGAGCGGACAGGCTCGCCTGGAGCGGGGGGCATGCCATTTTGTCCCCAGCACTCACCATCGTCCCATTGCCCACACCGTTGGGAGAGTATCTGGGGAGAGGTTTGAGCAGCTGCTGATCTTCCTACCTCTTCTTCCCATGCATGTCCTCGAAAGAGGCAAAAAAACCCAATCCTTGGAGAGGATGCAGGCATTTGAGGAGCACAAGGAGCATCCCACACTTTCTGCCTGCGATTATGCTCACAGAGGGTCAGGCATCAGCACGGCCCTGGGCAGGAGGCAAGTGCCTGTGGGCAGCACGAGGCCCAGCAGAGAGCATCCCCCAGCCCAGCCCGAGCTCACGCAAGCTCCTGGGCAGTTTGCTTCCCTAGCAAAATCCAAGACCTCGTAAAACCCTGACTCAGCTCTTAGTCCTGAGATCTGAAGTGAAAGCTTGCAAATCTGCAAGGTGGGTTGGCGAGGCTGGCAGAGCCAAGGATGACCCTTGCGTTGGGGCAGTTTTGCTCTTTAAGCTGCTTTCCGGATCGGTGCAGCCTGTTTCCCAAAAGCCAGGTTTGCAGCCACGGGAGGGCAGAGCCCCTTGGCCAGCACCCTCCGGCTCCAGGCCTGCTGGCTTCAAAGCACTCAAAAAATCCCAGCCATCATCCACTGCCTGCTCCATCCACCCTCACCCAGCCAGAGAGAGTCAACATATTCTGGTTCAGCTGGAGTCCATGCTACCAGGCAGATCATCTTCATGTCTTTAGCTGGGTTTTGTCACAATTTCAAAGAGAAAAAAAAAAAAAGAGCATTGATGAGACCTGTGCTAACACGGCCCAACCTGGGAGGCATCAGGAGCGCGTGGTAGATGGGGCGGACGCAGCCCCGCTCCCGGCGTGTACCTCTCCGAGCACAGGGGCCCCACCAGCGTCCCTCAAGAAACTGGAAATATGGGCTTGGGTTGGAGCACGGCTGCTGGTTCACACCCTTGTTTCTCCAGACTAATTTGCTGGTTTTATGAAATCCATTCCCCACTGTTTTCACACTTCTCTCCCTCTCTATTTATAGCTGGGTTTATTTACATGAACAGGGCACTCCGTGTACTTTCGCGTCAGCCTGCGGTGGCAGAGCCGAGAGCGGGCAAAGGCAGCAGGCAGCAAGGCAAGGCAAGGAGCACCCAGGTCCTCGGCCACGGCCACCTCCTGCCCGCCACGTGGGAGGCAGGCAGGCAGCCAGCCCTGCCGAGGAGGGAGCCGGAGCCGAACAAGCCACGCATGCCCCAGACCCACACGTGCCCCAGACCCGTCCCCGCAGCCCCCAGCGACGCAGCCCCCGTGGGATGCAGGTGGCCCTGGAGCCACCCACAGGTGAATCCCTTCTCTTTCCAAGGGGGAGCAGCTCTGGCAGCAGCGTTTTGCTTCCCTGAGCCATATCCATCTTTCATGCTACCGACCTGGGGATCCCCGCAGCCTTCCCGGCTCGAAAGGCGACGGAAAGAGGAAAAAATTCATTGCAGACCAGAACTCAGTAAGGCTGCCCTTGCCCTCCGCCCTGCCGCACAGCCACGGAGAGCACAGCCTACCACGCACAGCTGAGTCACTTGACAACTGCCCAGCGATAAATTTACCACTTTGCCTAACAAGAAGGATAAAAATGTTGTTGCTTTTTGGGGTTTTGTGGAAAACTCTGACAGATGAGGCAGGAGGCCTCAGATTAGCACAAGGGTAAGAGACTTGGGGGATGCAGCTGTCCCTATCGCAGGATCATCTGGGAGAGATGCAGCCCCAGTTGAGCCCTGGTGCCAGCTCCCTGGGACTTGGCTGTCAGGATCAGGGGCAGAGGTTTAGGTTTGGGTATTGGCACAAGG